CTAATCCTTCTGACAAATAATTAGCAGACTAATCCTGCCGAGGAATGCAGGCCAGCCAGGGCCCAGGAAGAGACAGAGAAACAGGAGGCAGATACAGGCCGACCTGTGCATTCCCCTGGGAACCTCCATCCTCAGCCCTGGACTGAGTGACCAGGAACACTGTCAAAGACCTGTCACCTCAGGTGAAACCCAGAAATGCCAGTCTCTGTCTTCCCTTATGGAGGAGGGTTGGTCTCGATGCAGACATACAGATGAACTAAGCAGGGCTGAGGTATTTCACAGTTCAGCAGTGGCTGCCTCTGTTTAGGTTGCTCCGAGGCTGAACACCTTTTCTGTGTCCCCCAGGTGCTGGTCTGTGCAGGTGACACAAGAGGTGTCAGATCCCTGGCCTGACCAGAGTGTGGTGGGAGAAGAGGTGTGCAGTGATGCCCATGGCTAGCGTGGGCTGCTGAGGCTCTGGCAGCACTCAGAGAGGGTAGAGTGCTTGGGCCTTCTGGCCATGACCTAGGTACACGTGCTAGGTCTTTTTGGACAGGCCCGTAGAGAGTGCCAGAACCTGGGACTGGAGCCCCAGAGTTCATGGCATGTTTACACTGACTCTTGCTCTACCCCTTCACATCTGCCTTCAGATGCAATGCCATGGCCAGGGCATTTGGCCCTAGAGGACCTCGGTGTTTTTTTAATTGCCTGTGAACTTCTAAAACTTAGAAGAAAGTGCTTGCAAGAGAGGGGTCGCAGCTTAGGTTGCTTCACCTGGACCCAGTCAACTGTGGGTCTGTCTGTCCCCCGACCCTCTTCCCGTCTCATGCCCATCTTAGATCTGAGGGACTGCACAGGACTGCCTGTCTTGCTGAACAGGTCATGAAACCTGGTGGCTTACTAAGCACCTTCAGAGGCCGCTGGTTTGGAAACTGCTCTTTGGAGTTTGCTAGGTCTGCAGTTTCAAAGCAGGAGTTCCTCCCCCTGGGCACTGGCCACATGTGCTCAAGGACTGGGTGCAGCTGTGAGTTCCTCAGCTGCTGTTTGTAGGTCATCTCAGTTCATTCTGAGGGAGTTCCTGGGCACCCGGGTGGGAAACGTCTCTCCCATGGACGCTGTGTGGGGCCCAGCTGGCAGCAACAGGGCTGGCACATTAGCTTGGAGTTTCTTATTCCTCAGCCAGTATCGTTCCACTCTGAGTGATATCACAGCGCAGGGGTTGAGGACAGCAAGGTGGCCGTGCTACCAGAATGGCTTTGTCTGAGTGTGGGCGGGCTGCTAGAGGCTCTCCATGGCTAGAATTTGGCTCTGCCTGGGATAAAGAAGACAGATGTATTCATGTTGCCCCCAGAACTCCTTGATCTCCCAGCATCGGGAAGGGTAGTATCAGAAACCAGGTCTGATTTGGCATGGGCTGTGAGGCCCAAAACGTGGCTAGCTGGTTGTTGAAACACCCATTTTAATAGTACTAATGGGAGACCCATACTCAACTCCCTGCCAGGCCCTGGAGAAGTTGGGAGAATACTGACATGGCCAGAGGGGCCCTGTCCTGCAGCTGCTCACCTCCTGGGGTGCACACGGTGGGACACAGGATGAGCTGCACGGGGCTTTTACCATCTATAGGCAGGACCGGCTGAACTCTTTCTTGGAGTGTCTGAGTTTAAAAATGCTTAATAGGAGGTTATCTTTATTATTGAATTCACATCCTGTGTGACAAAAAGAAAAATATATGTATAATATAATTAAGTGCTAACTGAAGACTATTCTGAACATTCACAGGACGGCCAGCCTTAGCATTCAGGTCTTCTCAGGGGAGGCCTGGGCTCTGGATTAAAATCATGGGCTTTTTTAGAGTCTCAGAATCCTTCCTTCAAATGCTATTTTAAAGTCAGGGACTGGCAGTTGTAGGTGGGGAAACCATCTATCCTCCAGCCCCGGCTGTCAGCAGCCGCCATGCCACCCCCTTCACCCCCGGGAGACACAGCATTCTGATGAGGTACCAGGCACGGTGGCACCCCAGAAGAAGTGGGCGGCCCCTCAGCAGAGTGGAGAGGGTTCCCGTGCTCCACCAGGCTGGCTGTTTGGTGTCTGAGAAGTGCAGCAGAGTGGCTCCTTCCGAGGGAGTGGAGTTGTTTGTTGTTCATGTTTCAAGGTAGGGAAGTCCAGTAGTGAGTTTAAGCCTTGCCTGCAGGTGCACAGATGTGCAGGCTCTCCTGGCAAGTGTGCACATCCCTCCTGGGACACAGACGATCAGAGGGTGACATCTGGTTAGGAGTTGCCTGAATGTTGGAGAACCCCAGCAGGGATGAAGCCAAGCACAAGTGATCCAGGAGCCGGTGGCACAGTTCAGAAAGCTGCTGATGCCCATGTGAGCAGCACACGATGCCCAAGGTCACGCACATGGCAGGAATAGAGGGCAGCACAGAAGCATCTGGATGTCGCCATGGGCCGTCAGACAGGGCTGTTTTTGAGAAAGATCTCTCTGGCAGTGCTGAGCTGCAAAACCAAGGAAATCTCAGGAGCTAATCTGGAGCCTCCCAGCATCGGGGAGTGAAGGATCCAACCACAGGGTGTCTGTTGGAGTGCTTACCCCAGCCCAGAAAGGATGCGGTTGGGTTGAGAAATTCCCCTGTGGGTATCTCACGCTAATGGAATGTCAGCAGTGTGAGGATAATAGCCTGCGCTGGTAGAACTGTAACGCCAGCTCAGCTCTCAGCTACTTCTGTTCCAGCACGTGGTGTGGTCAGGTCTGCCATGGACCACTGTGGCTCTTGGGATGCAGAGAGAAGTGGGGGAGGGGCCCTGGCAGAGGAATGTGCTGAAGAGGAGCCTTGTCTGGGGGGGTTGGCGCAGGGAAATCTGCAGGTCAGCCCAGGGAGCTGTCCCAGGAACGAGCACAGTGTGGAGTCTGGCTGCCCAGGAGACTCTGCACTGCCTCAGAATTGGGCAGCCTTGGCATAGAACTGAGCCTGCCTGAGCCTGGGTGTCCCCCATCCCTCCAGGAAGGGGCTTTCATTCCTCACCAAGGCCTGCTGCTCCAGCAGTCTCAGGCCTTCCCAACTTCACTGTCCTCTCCACCTACTCCCAGCCATGCCCCAGCCCACCCTCCTTTTTATTTTTTTTTTAAATAATAAATTTTATTTTTATATTCCCCCATACAATTGCAAACGCCCCATTCTGACCCCAATCACTCCCCTCCCGCCCCCCACCACCCTCCTTTTTATTAAACACCAGCTCCAGCAAGACCCCTTCTCTGTTCTTTCTTTGCACTGAGTTCCAGCCAAAATTACAGCACTTGATTCTCTAGGCAATTTGTCATTTTTAACTCTAATGGTTACCTTGAAGGCAGAAATCATGTCTTCATAATTGTAAAGCAGAGGCTCTGTCTACTTGTGGAGTGGATTGGACCCTTCTCCAGTCTAGAAAGGAGAGTGGGGGCAGCAGAATCAGTCCTTTCCAGCAGCCTCCCACCAAGGTGCCAGCCCAGGCCCATGCAGTCCACGCTGCCCTCGGATCACATAGGCAGATGATTCACTAGTACTTGTTTTAAGAAGAGCACAGGACATCCTAAGAGTCTGGGAAAGCTTTCTGGGGACTCAAAGTCAGACAAGGGGGATGGATGAAAGTGGAGAGGCCTGGGGTGGGGGTTGGGAGGACTGTCCCTTGCTGGAACCTGAGAGGTCTGGGGGTGGGGCTCGGATCACAGGGATGCAGACTCATCCGTAGGGGGCCTAAGTGCCAACTTCAGGTGGCAGAGCCACCTTGCAGTGAAAGTGATCAAGTTCAGGGCCTGACAGTTGTGTGGATTCTCCCAATAGCTATGGGGATTAGAGGGGGAGCTTCCTGCTCACTGTCCAGTGAGAACTGGGGTCACAGCCTTGTTTGGGCCTCAGTGACTCAGCCAAGTTCTCTGCAGGCTGCCCAGGCAGCTGGTGTGCATCTCTGTGGCTGGCAGTGCCCATGGTAAGAAGATCAGAGTGCTTCCATAAATAAACAGCCACTTCCTTGGGCCTTCTAAGTGTCCCCAGCTGCCTCCACCCTCCAGAGGACCCCAGACTTCCCCAACAACTCAAGGCCAAACAGCTGGCACAGCAGGGTATCCAGGATGCCCACCCTGGTTCTGGTGAGCCAGTGTTCACGTGGCCTTTGCTGCGTCCAGGGCAGAGGGAGAGACATCGGCCCCTCGTGTGGTCCTGCCTCTCAGTGGACCAGCCCTTTCCCTCTGCAGCCACACCCCCACATGGTTCTGGTCAGAGGACGTTCCTCAAGTGGAAAGAAATCCTGATGCTGCTCCCTTCCTTTGCCCAGTAGCTGTGTTCCCAGGTGGTGACTGAGTAGGTGCTCATGTAGCTTTAATCCCATTGACTATATAAGGGAAATCCCTGTCTTAGGAAATTCAGTGAAGAGTCTTTGAGAAAGTAAAACAATACCATCTTCACGTACCCAAGGGCAGGAAACAAAGTTTGCAGTTCAAGTTAGGGGATGTTAGTTGAGCACCTACTGCGTGCCTGTAAGGGGGGACGCAGAACTCTTCCCTTTTCACCATTTCATTGCTTAGCCTCATTTCTTAGTTCGAAGTCGCTTTCTGGGTCTCTCTCTAACACAAGCCCCCGTCGAGAGCCGGAAAGGCGCAAGTGGAGGGGGACAGCCCTGTGTTCAATGAGGGCACTGGCTGAGTAGCTGAGGATGAGGGTAGGAGGAGCAGGATCAGTAAGTATCCTTGATGGTGCCAGAGGGTGGGGCAAGAGGGCATGTGCTCAGGGACGGGGTGAGCGTTGCCGTCACCAGAGAATGCAGAAGAGCGCTGCGTGCTTTGGCCATTGGATGGAGAACTGCGGCAGAAGGAGCAAATGATCCAGGGGCATTGCCCAGGCCACCACCCTGGGCTCTCATCCTTCTGTGGGTTGGGGAGGTAGGCAGATGGGTGCTGCGCTAGTGGGGCAGAACCACATGGGGTTGCAGCCTGGGAGGAAAACCAGGGGGACAGGGCCCCGTGTTGATGGTCCTGTTCCTCCCTGCAGCCTGATGTTCACCAAGGTGAAGCTGGAGCAGGTTGTGAAAGGTCCAGAAGAAGCCCTTGTGACCTGCAGACAAATGCTGCGGCTGTGGCAGACCCTGTACAACTTCTCCCAGCTGGGGTGAGTGTTTGCCTTGCCCCTATGGTTGCTGGAGAGTGTGGGGTGGTGTTGGCAGGTGGTGGTTGCCAAGGCAACAGCCCGCCGCTGAGTGGCCGAGGTGCCTGGCGGCGTGGGGTAGGGTCAGTGAGGATATTTGAATGAGAGAATGGGACTTACTGCTCCTGGGGCTTTTGACATCATCCTTGGGCTAATTTTAAGCTTTTGACCGTCATCTATGAAGTACATGAAAAATCCGTTTAGGAAGCTAAAGTTCAGAGGGGTAAGAAGGAAGGAATCATTATTGAGCATCTGGGCCAGATGCTGGACTTGCTGCTTTATCTTTTACATCAACCGCTTTTTTCTTATATATTATCAGATTTTTGTTCCTACCCCAGGGGAAACTGAGACTCGGAATTTATGTAACTTGTCAAAGTCACTGGCCTTGTAAATGGTGGTGCTGCGACTTGAACCTGGGTTTCCTGATTCCCAGCCCGCGGGGCCTCTCTCTTTCCTGCTTCCACAAGGAAGCTCAAAGAGGAGGAGAAAGCAGAGTTCCCAGAGGGCCCCATCCTCCTCCCCAGTTACCCACTCTTTCCACATGCAGCATCCTATCCCCTGCCGCAGCCGCCAGCCTGGGCTTGTCCTGCACCCTAGCGGGGCACTCTCATCCAGGCTGAATCTGCAGTCAGTCTTTGCTCCAAACCATTGGGACATTGGGGTTCAGCCTGTGAGCCCAAAGCAGAAAAAGGCCTCATGCAGGGCAGTGCACTACCCCTTCTGGGCCCCTCCCTGGGAATGCTAGCTGTGTCATCTCCCAAAGGCCTCAGAGAACCGATTCTGGTGGGTATTTGCATTTTCGTAGGGATCTGGGAGCCCAGAAAGTGTCCCTGATCCCCAGAGGAGTGTCTCTAATGGTGAAATTTAGAGGAGTAAATTTACTCCATGTAGGGTAGGTGATGGAGTGAAAGCTCTAGATCAGCCCTCTCTTTGCTCTCCTCTAAACTTGGGACATCCAGGGCAGAGGGGGACCAGTGGGTAGAAGCTGCCAGAAGAATGTTCAAAGGGAAAGGACTTTTCAGGAAAAAAAGGGGAAAGCTGCCTGGCAACTGGGGGATGTGTGGGCAGGGCTCCAGCGTGGGAAGCACCGGCATTTGGATGCCCTTTGCTCTCCCCCTCACTGGCCATGGCCACAAGGGCAGGTGCACCATCTGGCTCCCTTATGGAGAGGAGCCAGCCCTGGAGCCACCATGGAGTTGGCAGTGAACACCTCTGGGCGCTCTTGCCAGGACCCTCTGAGCAAGACTATTCTTGCTACCCACATGCAGGCCTGTGCCTCCCTCTGGGCAGCAGAGCTAGGAATGGGCAGGCACTCTACAGGGTCAGGGGTGGTGGGATTTGCCCTGCGTGGGGGTGGGAGTAGCAGGGTCTTTTCAAATCACTACCTATGCTCTCATTGAGGATCTGAGGGCCTGGTGGAACCCCTCATAAGTGGAAGCCTGAGGCACGACTCCTTGGAAACCTGGGCCAAACATTGGGATCCGAGGTCTGGATCCAATACCCTCCAGACTTTTCCAAGAATAGAAAGGGTTCTTTATGAACACAGTTTAGGAGCAGAAACTAGGGCTTATAAAATCTCCTTTGGGGCAGCCGGCAATCAAGGCCAGAATCCACAGCCTGAAGGTCTGGCTTACTCTTCCCCACCCTGTCGGCCCCACCTCATCATGCTCCCTGGCACACCTCCTTCCATGCCCTGCCTTGGCCAGCCCAGACTACCCCGCAGGCCCCACTCAGCTGCCTCTCCTTCATGGCACCTCCAGTCACCCCACCTCAAATGCTCAGCCCTCTCCCTCTGGGTTTTTGTTAATTGCTCAGCTTGGACTGTCTCTTCTCCACATCTGGCTGTCAGGTCTTCAGGGTAGGAGCAAAGCTGTGTGTTTGGCCTAGAACCAAGAGGCACAAGGCCTCCCATGCCCCCACCCCAGCCCAAATTGGGCTGTTTTTAGAGCCTCAGACATGCAGGCCTCACAGGACCTAGGAGGGAAGGCAGGACAAGGAACCATTCCTGTGGCTCTGCTCCAAATCAGCATGTGCTGGGCACCTGCCCTGGTGGGTTCATGTACGCTTCACGGGTAACCTTGTGACATCAACTTTCTCATGCTCATTTCAAGCTGAGGAAATTAAGGCCTAGAAAGCTAGCTATGCGGAAGATCACACAGCTAAGTGACCCTTTGCTTCTACACATTGAGGTACCTCTGGGAATGGGAAAAGTAGGAGAGCGAGGGAACTCCCCCCACCCACTGTGGTATTTGCATGGTTTCCTCTGGTGCCCAAGAAGGTGACTGTGCACCTACAGGCCTGAGTCAGGATGGCAAAGATACGAAGCTCTGGCATTTGTTGTGGCATCATTGTCTGGTGCCCTTCTCAACTGAACAAGCCTCTGGCTCTAGGCTGGGCCTGCCCTTTCCACCTCAGTCCTCCTCTAAGTTCCTCAATCATAGGTTCAAGGGCCATGGGCTTCCCTGCAGTGGACAGGGGCTGACTGAGGCTGTGTGCACCCCAGGATGAGCACAGCTGGCTATTCTGCCTTTATGAACTAGAGGCTCCCCCCACCTTCCCTTTGAAAGAAGAAGGACCTCCTGAGAACTTCAGGGACCTGGACACTTGGGGTGGGGGACAAACAGGACCACCATGCTTGTTTACCTACCACCCCAGGGCCCCTGTAGCTACTCGGGGGCCACTCTGGCAGCCCAAAGTGGGGCACCTGAGGCAGAAATGGGACTGAGTCTCCCTTCCCTAAGGGGCAGGCTGCATTGTTCCTGGTGGCCTATGAAGACTGGGCTTTCCTCGGGGGCCAGTCCACAGTCCCTGCTCTGTGTCTGGCTCTCCTTGACTTTGTGAGGTCAAGAAAAGGTAGAAAAGACCTCCTACCTCCTCCCCACCACCACATCTGCCTGGGGAAGCTTCTGGCCTCACCCACTCTGAGGAATGGACTGAAATGGAGAGTTTCTAATCCTCAGTGTATGTAGCACCAAGACCCATGATGAGGGAGCGCCAAGGAAGAAGCAGCAGTGAGGGGCAGGCAGCCACAGGAGGCTTCCAGATAGATGAGCCTACTCGGGCTGGGTTCTGCAGCATGAGGGATTTGGGCCCACTGAGGAGAACAGTGGGAATATTCTCGGTGGCAGCAGCATGAGCAAGCTTGTCACCCTGGGAACAAAATATGGTGGTGTTAGAGAATAGTGAGGCGGCTGATGGTCCCTCAGGCCACAGTGGGTGCAGGCTCGTGTGTGTGTGTGTGTGTGTGTCTGTATGTGTCTGTGTGTGTCTTGGGAGGGGTGGAGAGTAACAATATGTCAGTTTAGCCACCGGGTCGAGCCAGATTCTAGGATCCCAAACCTGTACTCTACTCCATACTGTCTCTGCTTGTTCCCATCTGTCCTGGTGATCCTGCTTTGGCTCTGTTCTCAGCCCCAGAGCCTGCCTGGCATGAATTTCCCTCATTTTCCCTGCCAGTCCTCTGCCTCACTGGGCCTGGCCCTCCCTTGCCTTCCAGTGGCCTGGAAAAGGATGGCAGCTTAGGCGAGGGCCTCACGATGAAGAAGCAGAGTGGCATGCACCTGACCCTTCCCGATGCCCACGATGCAGACTCTGGTAAGACTGTGCCTCATGGGCAACCATATGTGTGGGTCACAGCCTGCTCTCCCAACTTGAGCACAAACAGGGCGAGTGGATGTGCACAACCCGGCCAGCCCCCTTCCATTTCCCCCTACCCTCAGCTTCCTCCTTGCCAGCTACAAGGAGGAGCTGCCCCTGGTCTGGACAGATGCCAGCCCTGGGGTGGGAGGAGGGGACTGACCCTACCTGCAGGGCAGGAGTGAACAGAGCCAGGGAAGATTTGGGTGGAAAGGCAGCCGTGGAGCACAAAACCCTTTCCCTTAGTAGGCTAAAGCTCAACTCCAAGGTCTGCCAGATCCAGTCAAATAGAAAGGGATGAGCTGAGCGTGACTTATATTTGCAGCTCTAAGCCCAAAATTGTTTCTTGGAAAAACTCAGCCAGACACCCATGTCTTATGAGATGCAAATGAGTTCAGGAACTGCAAACTTTTACCAAGGAGTAGAGTGGAATTAAAATGGAATACCTTCCCCCAAAAACACAAGAAGAGTTAGTCATGGGAAAGACAGTGTGAGGAGAGTTGTATTTAGTGGCACTGCTCATTTTTTCCACCTCTGTGGACATGAACCAAGTTGCACCTTCGTTGTCAAATGACAGAGTTGATTCCCAGTGCCAAGCCTGGCACCCAACCTGAGGCACATCTGAGCAGTGCCAGCTGGGAGCGGGCTGCTGATCCGAGGAGCCAGCAGGGAGGGGAGGTAGCACCCTTGCAAGAAAGAGGGAAGAACCCTGAGCAGAGTTATTAAGACTCCTTGTGCACTTGTCTCATAAACTGAAATTATCCATGGTTTGCCCAGAGGTCACCTGAGTTTATTGGAGTCTTTATTGGCTCTGAGAGAGAGAGAGAAAGTGCTCGCATTTTACTGCATGTGAATTGTGCCCTGAACAAAGACCCATGTCACCCAGAGCTGTCATGGGAGAGGTTCACCATAGGGCACTGGGCCTGGCGAAGCACCCTTACAGCCTCTCAGAGGGGAGCTTTCTATGGAGGAAACAGCTGCCTGCACTCATGAAAACAAAAAGCCAAAATACCAAAAGGAAAATCATCCAGATTTCACCACCCAGACCTCACAGATAGCCTTGCAGACCTTTTTTCCATACCCATGTTTCCTTTTTACAAATTTGTGATCATGCTTTTTTGCAACCTACTTTTTTTTTCCCCCATCTAACTGCATGGGAACATCTTGCCTCATCAATATCAATATTTGTGCATCCTATCATAATGACTGCACAGTCCTATGAGACTAAACTGTCACTTATTTTAAATCGATCCCTATGGTTGGATATTCAGGGCATTTCTGGAGTTGCTGTTGTTGGCAGTGGTAGAATGTACGGCTCTGCAAATGTTAGGATCGTTTTCCTTACTGATAGGTTCCTTCAGGTGGCATGCTGCTTGATTGCCCCTCAGAAAGCACCCTGTCCCCAGCCGTGGTGAGGGCATGAGGTGAGTCCTTCCTAATGGGTCTGTGAGCTGTTTTGCAACTGCCTGGCCACGCCATTCTGCCTGGCCCATACTTGGTGTGTCCTGTCTCTCCCAACAGGGGTACAGTCCCCGTTCCTGGGGGCTCATGTCACTCTGACTACGCAGCTCACCCTCTCCCTTCTTGCTTCACAGGCTCTCGCCGTGCATCATCCATCGCAGCTTCCCGGCTGGAGGAAGCCATGTCAGAGCTGACTGTGCCCAGCTCTGTCCTAAAGCAGGGCCCCATGCAGTTGTGGACTACGCTGGAACAGATCTGGCTTCAGGCTGGTAAGTGTCCCCGGCCCCTCCTGAAGAAGTATGAGGATGTGGTGACCCTTAAAAAGATATGCCTGGGCGTGGGGGATCCAGAGCTCTAGTCCCAGCTGTTTCTTCTTTGTTTCCCCAGGCAAGCCAATCTATCTGGCTGTGGGTTCACTTCTCCGCCATGCAGGCATACTGCCTGCCTGCCTAGGAGACGTTCTCTGGCAGCAAATAGAAATATGAGAGGATTTAAGAAAAGCTTTGCCACACTGATAGCTAGTCTTCTAGTCACAAAACCAGACCCTCTCCCTCTTTCTTGCCCACTTTTCCTGAGTAGAACTAGATCAGACCCTGAGAGCCTGCAGGACAGCCAAGAGGGGAGGTCTGCAGCGCTGGAGAAAGTGAGCTCTGGTTGGTAACACAGGTTGTCGTTCAGGCTACAAGCTCTTCTGATAGCACCTCACCTTTTTCTGATTCTCTTCCTCTGAATACCACCAAGGAGGTGGTACCCATAAGCCCCCAAGGAGAGATGGAGAAATGACTCAGGACTTGCAGATTTTCAAGCCAGCGTTAGAATATGCTTGTTCCCTGAGAATCTGAGGTTTCCTGCTGCCAGGATTCACATACGGACATATTAGTATGCAGTCCGCCCCCACTCTCCCACCACCGTTTCTGAATCCGGAGAAGAAAATCAAACCAGGATTCACAGACAGACAGGGAAGCATTTTAATAATGCAGATATTGCCTCAGTTAGCATATCAGAGCCCTTTAGGATGCCGGGGTGGGAGGGACATGTTCCGAGGTCAGCATGTTGTCCCTGAAGTAGGAGGAGGAATGTTGATATATCTGGAGGAATAATAGCAAGGCCTCCTCTTAGGCAAAATCTCCCCGAAGTCTTCTAAGTCATGGAGGAGCCCTAAGAGCTCTTAGAAGCCAGACTGGGGCCCAAGGCCCCACCTGTGCCTGAAATGGGAAGCTCACCCAGGCAGGGGGCTTCACCTACCTTGGGAATGCAGCAGTAACACTGCCCTCGAATTCTGGAGCAGTGCTTTGCCTGCTCGGAGCTCCCGAAGCCTTTTGTCTTAATGATGCGCCTTGTTTACTACCATCAGCAAAGGGGAATGTTTTTGCACTTCATAAGCCTGCTTGCCTTCCCCTGCAAGGAATGCTAGTGCGTTCTGGTAACTTCAAGGCAGGTTAAAGGCCTTCCTGAACCTGTAATTAGACCTGGGAATATTGATGTTAACATTGACCCTTCAATAATTTGCACATTAGCCTTTCTTCTCTAGATATTATCCTAGACATTCAGCCCACAGAGAATTACGGAAACAACATCTGAATGCTGTGAATGTGGTGCCGGGGAGGGGTTGGGAAGTGTGGCATAGGAGACAGGTTTGGGTGTGTGGCCAATCCAAACTGCAGGAGCTTCTTATGAGGTAGTAGTCATTTTTCTGAATAGTTTTTCTCATGCAACAATTCAGAAATGGCGGCGGTGACTGGGATGACAGTGCCTTCCATTTTGTGGCTCTTCTCTCCCTGAGGGGTCACCCTTGTCCCTGTGGCCCCAGGTGGCTCTCTACCACCTTAAGATTCCATAAGGACATAAGGAATTCGCACACAGATTTCCCTTCACCACCCACTGGCCACAAGATCTTAGTCACATGACCACACCACTGCAAAGAACTCTGGGAAATGTCATTCTCCTGAGTGTCCATGTGTCTCATTAAAAGTCAGGTGAACTATCATCATAGAAGGAGGAATAGAATGGTGATCAGCTGCCACAGCCAGAAAGGGAAGTGAGGAGGTGTCCTAGGGCTTTCATTCTGAGCATAAGAGGATTCTGGAACAATCTGCACTCCATGAGCCCCCTCTTATCCCCCAGCCCCCATTGTTACCAGCAAGCATCTGCTGAGCACATCACCAAAGGCCATGACCTCTCCCTAACCGTTTTAACCTGACCCAGCTTAATATCCTCATCCCCACCCAACCCCTTCCGCATAAGAGTCCGCCAGCTGCAGCAAATTTGCAGGAAGCAAGAAACAACCCCTGTTATCATTTTGGAATGAGCTAACCCACCCCTCCCCCAGTTTGGTTAACAGTAAATTGCAGCCTGGTTTGTTTTTGCAGTTAGTGCCATCATTAATTCACTCTGGTTGGGAAATGTATCCTTCCTCTCCCAACTCTCCTCCTGCCCTCCGCTCTTCAGGCCTCCTCATTCACTCAGACACCAGAAGCCTCAGGAGGGCTTGCACCTGAGAGATGCGTATCAGTGGTCAGGTGAGACGGGGAGAGGCATCTGGGTAAATGCTAAAGGATCCTGAGTGTCAGAGAGGTGCTTTCCAGAACAGCAAAGGGGCTTTCTTCTGCTCTCAGCAGTCTCCTGCCTCTGGGAGCTGACTGTGCTAGGGACTGGAAGGTGGGATAAGGAAGGACCTGCCTTCCCCTGGCCTGGAGGTCCGTGGACTTTCCGGTGAGTCTCAGCTTCCAAGGGCACATGCCCTCTGACCGGGCCCTGGCCCACCTCTTTAGGGGGCCCTGCAAGTGACGTCTGCCCTAGGTGTCAACCAGGCAGACTGGGAGCCTGGGGTGGGGCAGCCAGGATGCTCTATAAAGATTGTATTTATTTTCAAAATCCTGTCATTTGAGACACCATGGTCCCATTTGCTCCACTAATTCTTTAGTTTCCCTCATTCCTTTATCTTCCTTCACTCTCCCTCTTCCCCAGCGCCCCTCCTGCCTCAGAGCCTTCTTCCCACATCCTCTCTTCCCTGGCTGCCTCTTCCTCCTCTGCCTGTCTCACCTCCTCCTCCAGCAACTGAGTGAGAAGAGAACTCCCAGGACAGGAAGTGGGGGGCCCACACACCCGAGCCACTCTCTAGTGGCCTGAGGCACATGGGGGGAGGGGTTGGGGGGGTTGAAGAGCTTTAGAAAAAAATCCCTCTAGACCTTTGGCTTCTGTCTTATTCTCCTGGGCTTTCTCTGTGCTGGCCTCCCTGGTCTCTCTAAGTCGCCCTCCTCTGCTCCTGTGTGCTCTCCCCCTTTCTCTTTATTTTAGTGTCTATGTCCTGAGGGGCAGCTCCTTGAGAAGGCCTGCTTATTTCCTCTAGGGGGCAGCTTTGGCCACACACACACACCCCAACCTTCCCCCCTCCCCCCAGGCCCAAGGCTACCTAAGGACAATTCTGAGTTCAGACCTTAACTCTGTGGTGGGACATGGGGGAGGGGTTCTGTCCTTTAAACTCTGGTGGCCCCTCCCTCTCCTTTCCGAGGTCTCTGGGAGAGACTCACACCTGACACACACCTGACCTGGAGAGGCCCCTAAAAGACCTTAGGCAAGGCCCTTCCTGTAAAGAGTTAAGGAAACAGCTCAAGAAGTGTAGGCCCATCCCCCAGCAAGGGGGGAGGGTGTTTGAGGGGGCTGGGCTTTGGCAGGGATGGTAGGAAGACTAGAACGAGCTCTGGGTGCAGGGTGAGACCAGGATGCCTCAGAAAAAATAATAAAAGGGACTCTTGCAAAGCTCCAGGGAACAGATGTTTTCCATTTGGAGCCTGCCTAGAGAAAGCACAGGGGGGTGGGAGGGGTGGAGAGATTGGAGGAAGAGGAAGAAAGGCTGGGCAAGAGAGGAGGTCAACACTAGGCAGGGGAGATGAGAAAAGAACATCAGAAGGGAGGGAGAAAGGACTCGGGGACGCAAGGGCCCTGGGAACCAGGGTGATGACCTTGGCTGAGATGCGAGGGAAGTCCAGTAACAAACAGTGAGTGTTCATCCAGCCCTGGCCAAGGGAGGCCCGGATGGGTGTGGGCACCGCCAGGCCCTGGGGGGAGTGGCTGGGGCAGAGGGCAGGCTCAGTCCCATGAGCTCCTGCTGTATGTGGGGAGCTCCGTGTTTGGTAAAACCTCGAGGGGAGGAGGGCACAGACTGCAGACCTTGAGGCTAGGAGAAGGGCCAAGCTGCAGCCCCTAGACCTGTGGGCCTGTCTGCAGGTCGGAGGCCCCGCCCTGGAGGCCAGGCCTGCCAGGGACTGTCTGCAAGACAGCCAGGAGCCCTCAGGAGACCTCTCTTCCCTGGCTCTGTTCTGTGTCATCTGGTTTCCTGCCTCACTGGTAATGAAGTCCACTGGAGCAAAGCAGCCCTACCTATTTTTCAGGGCATGTTCTCTTGTGTGGCCACCCAACACAGCTTCAGGCCCCAAGGAAAGAGGGAAGTGAGGCTCTCTGTAATTGAAATCTGTTGATGTGAAGGCACTGTGAGGTGTCCCCAAGGGAGGCACCAGGGACAGCCTTGGGAGACAGGGCAGCAAGTTGTAAACAGTCTTAATGAGCCACGCCTGAGCCAGGTGGACCAGGCCTGGGGCAGGCCTTCTGGGACAGGGCTAGAAGAAGGGGAAGCCTGGCCTTGGGGCCTCAGCACAGAGCAGGCTTCCGTCCCCGCCCTACCCCCCATAACATTCACACCTTGAACTTCCTCTGCTTCTCCTCCTCCATCACCTGGGGGAGTTCTGCCGTGGTGAAGCTGTGCTCTCAGGGTCTACACAGCCTTTCTTCTTTCTACCACACAAAAGCCCCTGTACCTTTAGGACCCATCTCAAATGCCACCTCCTCCAAGAAGACTTCCCTGACCACACCAGCACAGCTGACCTGACCCCTTCTGAGTACCCAGAAGTGGCACTTGCATTTCACGGCCCTGCCCAGCAGTTTGGTGGCCTAGCTGCCCCTCTCCCCTGCTCCAATCTTTCTCCTCATAGGAGGGCCAGGTACACAGTCAGTACTCAGTAGGTGCACATTGGGCGCTCAGTTATGAAGGCAACCTGTTCAGCCCTGAGGAGCATCTCAGAAGGGGAGCAACTCAGAAGGGGAGCAACAAGAACCAAGGAGAACGGAGGTCCAGATAACCAAACCCCTGACTGCTGGGCCATCCTTCCCTGCAAGAGCCTGTGTTCAAAGGCCTCCTCTCCTTCTGGCCTCACTTTCCTGTGTTTTCTGCCTTGGGACTCTTCAGTTAAGACTGTCTCCAGGGACAGGAGCCTTTCTCTCTCCCCTTATTGTGGGAAGCTGGTTTCTCTGTGTTTAATTAATTTCTCGGATCCTCCCAAATTCTCATCTTCACCAGGGAAGAAAAGCACCTTGCTCAAAAAGGCCTCTGTTGTATTTTAGGATGTGGCCAGCGGCTTTGTTGCACAACGAACCTTTAGGCAACTTGCATGCTAAGTACCCCAGTGCTGTGCTTTGCAGTCAGGCTTAGAGAGGCTGCCTTCCTGCTTCTTAGCAGAACAGGAAGATGGGGTGTCTGGGCCTGCTTTTTCTACCTTTTTCTGAGAACTTCTTTGGGGATGTCTGCTACCCGCCCTACCCCAGACCTCATCTGAACTTGTGTAACCTCAGCTCTCAGCCTCTGCTAGGAACAGCTCTTGGCAAAGCTGCACCACAGACTCTGCGTGCCCTTCTGTGCTCCCATCTGTGCACAGGCCTTCTGTGACTTCAGTCTGGGCACCCACCCGGGAGGGGGCAGCTGAGCCCCGAGCTGCCATGAGAGGAAGGCTGAGTGGGCCGCGAGGCCCAGCTGCAACCCACCAGGCCATGTTTCTAAAAGCGCCTGCCGTGGGTGTACCTGCCGTGTGGGTTTAAAATGTGCTTTTATGTAGGCTGGTCCAGGAGCAGAGAAACGGCCTGATTTAACTCTGATCTGGGGAGAAGGCAAACTGGTCATGGGCAGATCCTCTGTGACTACTGGGAAAGATGTGCAGCCCCCCACTCCCTTCTTACCCCCATTCCCTTTTCATATGGAAGAAGCCCTGAGCTTTGGAGGGAGGTGGGTGCTGCTGGGGGCCAGGCCCCGTCTAGTCCTCCCTCTCTCAGCCCGGTTTGTTAGCATGGGGCTCACAGAGCACCTGCTTCTCAGAGCTGGGGCCCGGCCCACAGTTGGCTCCCAGGAAGTGCAGGTGGTTTTGTGGCTGTTACTGCGCTCCTTGGTGGGAGCCCCAGCTCTGCCCCTTCCAGACGCTTCCAGACGCTTTCTTCCTCCTCCCGCCCCCTTCTTTGGCAGGATCACTTGGCGCTTGCTCTGCACACACTGCACACACTCCTGCCTCATCCGGATCACAAGGGTGGAGTTAGCTCTCCAGTCAGCCTCCCTCCCCAGAGACTGAGGCCTGAGGGGAGCCACCCATCTGCTTCCCTCCCCCACCCCAGACACATAATGAATGGTGAAGTGCAGGGACACTGAAAAAAGGTCCCTTGGCAAAGGCTTAGCTCCAGGGGACACCACCCAGACCTCCACTGCCAGGCCCTGAAGTCAGACAGCCCAAGGCAAACCCTGCTTCATGGCCTGCTCTCCCTGTGGCCTTAGGCAAGTCCCTCTCCCTCTCAGGCTGTTTCCTCCTCCTTGAAGTGGATGATGAAAGTGCTGTCCTGCAGGGTTTGGGGAGCATTGGCTGAGATGGTCTGTGTGGAGCGCATCGTGTGGCATCTGGCTGAGTGGGCACTCGGAAATCACTGCTGGGGTGACCACTGCATCCTGAGCAAGCCCGTCTTGTGCCGTGACTTGGTGGGAGGGTTGCTGTCACCTAAGCCCTATTCCCAGCTTTGGGGCTGACAGCTGCAGGGAGGGGGGGGCGCTCTCTCTGACTTTTCCCACCCCCCTCACCTCCTACTGCCCTTCTGGTTTCGCAGCTGAGCTGTTCATGGAGCAGCAACACCTCAAGGAAGCAGGTTTCTGCATCCAGGAGGCAGCGGGCCTCTTCCCCACCTCGCATTCGGTGCTCTACATGCGGGGCCGACTGGCAGAGATGAAGGGCAGCTTGGAGGAGGCCAAGCAGCTGTACAAGGAGGCACTGACGGTGAACCCCGATGGCGTGCGCATCATGCACAGCCTGGTGAGTCAGGCCTTAGGGCCTCCTATCCCCTCCATGGCCTGCCAAGGCCTTCCAGCCCCTGTTGCTTGGCATTTGTGGGGAGGTGGCTAGCTCCCTGGTGTGTTGGGAGAGAGAACTCACTCTCTTACAGAGTCAGGCTGTTCATCTTCAATTAGGGCTGAGGTGATGAAAAAGTCCTAGAGGGTTGCTTATCATTCTTTGTGACTTCCTTTTTTGTTCTAAAGGTCTGTGAAGGCAATCTAGCCCCAAAGGGCTTTTACTGGACTTACCAGATCCTTGCTTTGGAGGCTCGAGGCAGATACTAAAAAGTTGTTTTTTCTGGGGATCCCCAGACCCTCTCTGGACTGCCTCCCCCATTTTGGAGGATCTTCCTGCCTCCTTGGTGGTATTCATTATGTGTCTGGCTTGGGTGTCAGGCCTGACTCGAACACACATTGAGTATGGCCCTTGGGGGGCAATGAGGGCCCAGCAACCCTCAATCCTGGGGCACGGAATAAGGGATTCTGCGAATGCCCAAGGGTGCAGTAGTGACCTTTCTGTGGGAAGGTTCAGAGCAGGGACCAGGACACTGGTGCCCTTGTCCTGGCTTTGCGATTCTGTTCTTGGGTGATGATGGGCAAGTTACCCACTCCTCTGAACAGGAGGGATTTACCTGTCTGTGCAAGGGGAAGCCTCTGGTCCAGGCTGCATTTATTGAGGACCTGCTCGGACAGATGGTATATAGTGGAGATGACTATCTTCCCTGTCTGCCTTAGCTGCTGTCAGAATAAGTTTCAGGATCTGCATTGTACACTGATAGTTGAAGTATAATTTAAGAACCCAGTTAGCAACAGTTTTCCCCTGGCAAGGTCTACCAGCATGGGGGTGTCACTGCTGTCTGCACATGGAGACAGAAAGGATCAGGAGAATGATTCCAGGGGGCTGAAGGTGAAGGGTTATAATGCCAAGAGGAGTCTGATGTGTTCACGAGCTGAAGCTACAGGGAGTTTGAGGTCAGCACCGTATCAGGAAAAATAGTGCCACTCCTAGAACAGGCTAAGTACAAACTCAGGAATCCTCTAGTGGGGATATTGCCAAGAGCATGGAAAGATAGGCGGGGGAGAGTGGGAGGACTGGACCAGGCCATATTTACAAGGTCCTTTCCAGCCCTGAGAGTGCTGGAGAACAACTATCATCCCTACCCTGCGGGACTTCCCTAGGGCGTTCTAGCTGAGGCCCTACTCCGCGCCACGGTTGTAGAAGGCACACAGTGACATCACAGCCTGGCCCGTGCTCCCCTCCACGCAGCCCTGTGTTGCCTTCCAGTCTGCTCAGCAAATGTCTGTTTTTCACTTGGCACATCCTCCTTCCTCCCACAATTCAGACATTAGCCCCTCTGATAAATTTCTCCCCGGAGGTCACATCCAAAAACTTGATTATGGAGGTGGGAGGGGGAATGTGGACTTGGATCGCTGGGCCTGCAGCCAGGCTGCACATCTGCCTTCCTCTGTGCGCACAGGCAGGAGTCTGCCATCTGAGTCCCTCAAACCCAATGAAATCCAATAACAAGTACAATTTTCAAGTAACAGTGTACCATTTTTCATTTATGCTTATTATTGTTTGTAGCTATTTTCCTGAAATTGAAGCTGTTTCCAAGGGCGGGTTTCCATGGTAACTGAATAGCTGTCCAGAGTGGCTCACCAGAGATGTTTCTGCAATGGTCCCTTTTCTCCTCCCGGGGTGCCTTGCTGATTTGATGAAATTGGAGCAAGCCGGAGCCAGGCCTGCGCACTGTTAAAGTTGCAGGCAACCAGAGGGGCAGTTGGCGGTGGCGTGGGCAGCCATCCCGCTTCCACATGCTCTGTTCCTGCCAGCATCCCACACACATACATAAAAAATAGCAAACTGCAAGCCTGGGGAAGATTTACTAAGCACTCTTTTCCCCAAAGACACGCGAACACTTTGGCATGTTGATCCCCAGTGTTTGCTGATCTAAGTTCTCCTCTGTACTGGCCCCAGACTCAGGCCATCTGGCTCTGGCCAGATAATCCTGCTGTAGCGCTAATTCACTTGGGTGACTTAGGGAAAGACACACTTAACTTCCATACTCCTGATGTAAATTGTTCATTTTGTAAATGAACAATAATTGTCATTCCTAGACCAGTGTAGTTCTAATCAAATGAGGTGAGGCACGTGAACATGCTTCTGAAAATCTCCAGTGCCACATCAGAGAACACAAAACACAGTATATCCAAAATCACTTAGTTCTTCACCCATGGCAGACATTGCCGATCAGTCACAGCACTTTCTCCCCACTGAGCGCAGATAGTTTTTCACCACAGTAGAGCATGATGGGAGCCACTGCCAGTGGGTCTGAATCAGGTTAACGTTTATGTAGGGAAGTCACTGTAAAAATAGTTGGTAGAGAAACGCATTTGTGTTTCAGCTTTTGTGAACTTGGCATCCTTGGGGAATAATAATCCAGAGAAAGGGACACGTTGGGAAACTGGTATTTCCCCCATGGAGTCATTGCCAGGGCAGGCTCCCAGGGTAAACATCCTTACCCTGCCACTGTGCCTCTATGAGGACATTGGCCTCCACTGGGCACAAGAGGAAGGTGAGGTATCCTCCCCAAGTGCATGGCCACCCCCACAACCTGGGCTGGCGGAGCTCTACATCCCTCATGAGCTGTGTGGGTGCCTGTTTCAGCCCTGTAGCCCTTGGGGTGGGGTCAGCACGTACCAGGAGACCAGCCTCAGGGCCTGGGGCTGTGTGCATGGAATAGGAGGGGTTCCCAGGGCTGGAAAAAGTCCTCTCAGTGTGGAAATGTTTGAGGCAAGAGTCACGGTTCAGGCATTTTTAAGAATATAAACTTTGGCCCATAAGCAGATCCTCTTGCCCTCCCTGCCCTGGAAATGAAAGATGTTTTCATGGTTCTTGCTGGACTCAGCGCAGGCTCTTCTACCAGATCAGCCAGGAAAGAGACCCCTCCCGGAGGGGCCTCCATGGCACCCAAAGCAGTGTCCCAGAGGAGACTGCCGTTCTGCAGGCCACCACTTCTGCCAGGCCCTGGTTCTGCAGGCCACCACCTCTGCCAGGCCCGAGGGTGGCTAGGGAACGGGTCTGCCAAGTGCAGGAAGAAAAAGGTGTGCTCTTGCAGATGGAAATTCCCAGTGAAATCTCAGAAGCAGGTTCTGAAAGCCTGTGCCAGAGCCATCTCAGCTCCCTCAGGCAGTCCGAAACCCCGCTCAGCCTGGGTGTTCAGAACTGAATTTGCTGGCAGAAGAGTCTAATTCAGGGAAGATCCCCCTGAGGAAATATGAGAAGGGGAGCAGGGTCCTTCCCACGATGAGCAGAGCTGGCTCCCAGGTCATACTGCTCTCAAGAGGGCTGCATCGGTGTGGCCAAGAAGGGCCCCCCCAGGCAGCCAGCACCCACCTTTCTCCAAGCCTGTCTCTACACTGCCACCTTCCAGAACCCGCTCTGCATCAGCCCCTCCAAGGGAGCTGCGCCACCTGGGGACAGCAGGGAGCCCAGGGAGTGAATGATGGAGTGGTGGAGTCTCTGAGTACCCTCCTGAGAAAGGGGTTCCTTTGCAGTCACTTGGCCTTGATGGCAGGTAGATCACCAGCCGTGGCCACATGAACTCACTTTCCCTGTCCTGTTGGTTGAACAGGGAGTGTGGATGCTTTGGCACAGCCTGTTTCACTGCAGGAGACAGCTTGAAAGCCTCAGCCATGAGTGGGCAGGCACGGCTACATCCCTGCCACCTGCGTTTGTGGGTGGTGCTCTGCCCGCATCTTCCTGGGACAGACTGAGGAGTTCGGGGTTCCCTGATGCATCTGTCTAGAGTCCCTGCTTTGCTCCTCACTGGCCTCTGTACCCCTGGTCATGCTTTCTTCTTGGAGCAGAGCTCCAGGCTCCTGCAGGCTTTCTTCCTGGGGAGGGGTGGGGAGGCCTCCCCCTGCAGCAGCAGAGAGCCTGCTCTGCATGAGCGTTGGTTCCTGTGATACGGATGTAATTTCTGAAGCAGTCCTGGCTGTGTGACCAGCCTCTTGTCTCTGCAGACCCTGGAAAGACAGGAATACAGCATTTCTGTCATCTGTTGCCTTCTGATGAGAGCGTGGTGATGAATTATTCCCCTTAATTTGTTCCCTTTTGCTCCCAGCATGGAGCAGACTGTCTTGTTCTTTAAGTGGGTTTGGGGGATCAAGAGCATGGTCATGGCATGCAGCATCCCCAGATGGCCCAGGAGCCTCTCACCCCCTCCCCAGGCTGAGGCATGCAGCCGCACATCTTAAGTCCCCTGAAGCTCACAAGGCCCTTCCTGCTCCTCCCTAGGAGAGGGGCCTGCATGACTGAGGTTCTGGGGTGAGCCTTTTGCCAGCATTTCAGTAATCCTGCAAAAAGGTCTGATCTCTAAGGGTTACACTCCAGCTGCACAGATCTTCCCCCTTCACCCTCCTCAGCTAGCCCCCTCCCTGAGGGATGGAACCCACAGGAGAGGCAGTAGACCTAAGACCACTACCAGCTCTCAGTCGTCCTGGTGACAGAGGGTACTTATACTCCCTGGCTCAGTTTTCTCTCCTGTCAAATGGGGCTAGGGAATCAGGCTTTTGCAACCTCGGACAGTAGTTTTAGGACTGAGATGAGCTAAGAGCTATAAAAAGATGAATCAGGGCCTCCCTGGTGGCGCAGCGATTGAGCGCTGGGTTGCGAAGCTGCCCGCAGCCTCTGCAGCACCAGTTCGATTCCCGGCTGCTCCCCGGCCACCGGAGGAGGGTCCCACACGGCGCGCAGACCTCTCCTGCCGCCCGCTGCTCCCCTCAGCAGTGTACTTCGGTCCTTCTGCCTGCTCTGCTCCCCGCTCTGGCTCTGGTGAATTCTCTCACCCTCCCGCGCTTCTGACTGTACCCAGTGCATGTATAAATAATAAATAAATAAATCTTTAAAAAAAGAAAAAAAAGATGAATCACCATTGGGCATTTTTGTCACCATTTGCATGAGACTTGATGGCAGTG